ACGTTATCAAGTTCACACACACACACACACACACACACACACACACACACACACACACACACACACACACACACACACTTGACAAGTGGGTGTGGATTAGTTGAAGACTCTTAAATTCTCTCTATATATATATATATATATACATACTGGGGTCAATTTTTTTTTTTATATATATATATATATATATATATATATATATATATATATATATATATATATATATATATATATATATATATATATATATATATATATATATATATATATATATATATATATATATATATATATATATATATATATATATATATATATATATATATATATATATATATATATATATATATATATATATATATATATATATATATGACTGAGTTGATAAGGCTACATTAATTAATACCGTGGTGATGTTAGTGAAATCACTGTCTTTGTCCCCATTTCCATGAGATACTCATCAACCTATATTTATGGCGGCCACCCTACTTTTTGGTGTGTTTTTGTGTGTGTGAGTTGTGACACGCTCATATACTTATTTCAATATAATGACGACTTAAAATATTATAAATTAAATTTTTGGGTAAATTAGGATCATCGTGAGGTAGGGTTAAATTACGGAAAAACTCCTCATGTTTGTATAAATACAAGCACTCTCCTGAACTATATATTATCGTGCGAAAAAAATCTCTTATGTTGATAAATTTAGAGCTGTTTATTCGGTAAAATTTTACAAAGATTGCAGGGTACGCCAAAATTTCATACCGTGTAGCATTTAGTTCGATAGATAATTTAATTACCAAAATTTTAATAAAAATATTTAATATTTTGTTTTTAATTAATTAATTTTTAGTTTAAATACTAATATTACATATATAAATATATATATATAATTTAGAATAAATCTGAATACCACACTTAATTAACAGTTCGCTAATCAACATATATGAATTTTCGTTCGGCTGGATTCGATCGGTTTACAGGCCGAATGAACACCCCTAAGCAAATTTCACATCGTAAGGGTGGACGTTTTATACATTACATAGTTGAGGGAGTGCTTGTAATTATGCAAACATGAGGGATTTTTCCGTAATTTGATCTTACCTCAGAGGTGACCGTAATTTACCCTAAATTCTTTAAAGTTAATGTAAAAATATTGTTAGAATCCGAGAGGATTCTGATTTTGGTTTTTCGACACGTGTGTGAAAAACGTGTGTCTAAAGCTAGGGAAGTTTCCTTAATGCTTTAAACTCTTATTTTGTCATTAATTTATTTTAATTGCATAAGTGATGTGTTAACAAGGAATTTCCTTGATAAAGACTTTCCTTGTTACACAATTCCTTTTCTTTACTTAAGATTGAAACTAACCCTAATGGGCTTTGTTTTTCTACAGGATTCTTATTTTTCATAGAATAAAAGAAGCAGCACAACATGGCGTTTGATCGTGCGTCTTTTTGAGAGAAACAAATCTCTCGTTTCTTTGTTAGTGTTGCACGCCTTTTTATCGAGAGAAAAATTTACAGAGAAAATATTATTTGCTCTCCTTTTTATTGCTCCATCGTGATACGTGATTTTCATAGAAATATATCAGCTTCAAGGCTTTGTGGTGAAGACACCAAGATTCAAGAAGTATCACAAGTTTGCTTCTTCTATATAAAAAGAAGATCGGTTCTTCGGGAGAGGGGCTTAAACAGATCTCGGGAGGAGATCGATCCGCCGACTGAGGGATTCAGCGTTGAAGGGAGTTCAACCGTGCGGAGCAAGGGACGTGCTGCAAATTGAAGATTTATAATTCAGCGTAGTATACAAGAACGGCGTCGACAAAGAGGGAGTCTTTGTATTTCGATTAAGTCCTATTATTGTATTCGTAAAACTAAAAATTAGTAAATTTTATTTGCAGGTCCCCGTGGATGTAGGGTACAATTGTATCTGAACCACATTAAATTTGTGTCTCGTTTATTTCTGTTTTTACAAACTGTTTCACGAACTGTTGCAACACTTCACGCAACAGTAACAAAAAAAACTGAATCTGACACAAATAATTTATATCTGCACGAAATAAATTCTAACAATTGGCATCAAGAGCCTGTCACTAGATACACTTAGTGAGATTTTGGGATTTAATTTTTTAATTTGTTTTGTGCAGATATGTTTCATCGTGAAGGAGCGTCTACAGTACGACCACCTCTCTTGGATGGATCAAATTACTCTTACTGGAAATCGAAGATGAAGATGTTCATCAAGTCCGTTGATGAACGAGCTTGGCGTGCTATCGTGACTGGTTGGACCCCGCCCATGGCTAAAGGAACGGATGGTATGCAAACGGTAAAACCAGAAGAAGCATGGACTAATGAAGAGATATTACTTGCCAATTACAACTCAAGGGCGATAAACTCAATTTTTAGTGGCGTTGGTGACAATCAGTTCAAACTGATAGCATCGTGTGAATCAGCAAAAAGGGCATGGGAGATCCTACAAGTGACGTATGAAGGCACATCAACTGTTAAAACATCTAAGCTGCAGATGTTAGCCACGAGATTTGAGAGTCTTCATATGGAGGAGGACGAGACGATTGCTGATTTCCACGCTAAGTTGTGTGATATTTTCAATGAATCGTATGCATTAGGTGAACAATACTCGGAAACAAAGTTGGTAAGAAAGGCACTACGTTCATTACCAGAAAGATTCGCTTACAGAGTTGCAGCAATCGAAGAAGTGAGAGATATCAATACGCTAAAGCTAGATGAACTCATGGGTAAACTGCAAACCCAAGAAATGAATTTTAGAGCAAATATTCGAGAAAAGAAAAAGGTGAAGAATGTGGCATTCCAAGCTGAAGCTTCCCATGGCATCTCACAAGGCCAAACATTTCATGAGTGTGACATTGATGTTGAAGAATCCTTAGCAATTATGTCAAATAACCTCGAAAGCCTGCGTCAAAAAATTGAAAATAGAGAAAATTCCTCTCAATCAGGTAAGTCTGTTAACCCTAACAAATTTAAAAAGTTTTCTAATAATGGTTATTTTGGTGATGCAAAGTCTAGGAGAAAACAATGTCGAGAGTGTGGGGGTTTTGGACATATTCAGGCCGAGTGTGCGAACACTTTGAAGAAAAACAAGATGTCACTCACCACTGTTTGGAGTGATAAAGAGGACAATGATGAGGATGAGAACAACAAAGGAGATCAAACCACTAACTTTATGGCATTCAGTGGTACTACTTCGATGAGCAGAACCGAGGGAACTGTTGCAACAGTCTGTCCGACAGATTTCAGGTATGATGAATTATCTTTAAATAAGGACAATAGTTTGACTTCACCATTTAATTTTGCAGGTGAATCTGAGAGCAGTAGTGATGATGAAGAGCCAACCCTCGAAGAGGTGAAAGATGTATATGAAAAAATGTACCGGAAGTGGCTTGAAGTATCTGAGGTAAATAAGCGCCTTGAAAAGGATAAGCATGTTCTCATAGAGGAAAATAAAGTGTTGAAGGTAAGAATTTCTACTCTTGAACAAAATGTTATTTCTTCTAGTAGAGAAATAGATAGCTTGAAGGCTAAATTTGCTCAAACCCAAGATGTTATTTCTAAGTTTAATACTGGTAGAGTAACCTTGAATGAAATTTTGAACAAAAATCAGCCGAACTACTGTCGTATAGGTATAGGGGGTAATCAGCTATCTAATGATGCATTGAAACAGAAAGAGGATCCTAAAAAAAAAATCAATTTTGTTAAGCAATCCACTGTTTCACAAACTGTTGCGACAGTTGCACCAACACAGTCATTTCAAAGAAAAGTTTTTGTTCCTACCTGTCATTTTTGTCATGTTCCTGGTCATATACGACCCAGGTGTTTTAAGTACTTGAAAATGGTTAAAAGAATAATGGCCCGCTCACCACTTTCCGCTAAAATTGATCATACTTTAGTGTCGTCTCAAAAACCCAAGATAAAGGTTGATTTAGTGAATAAAACTCAACAAAAAATCTGGGTAAAGAAGTCTGATCTTAATTGTTTATCTGTCATTACTTCTTTAAACTCATGTGATGATAGTACTAACTGTTCCAGCAGTTCTGGTGACAAAGCTAGTTTGGGGAATAAAAAACTTGGTAATCTGAATTGTGATAATTTGTATGCGAAAAATAAGTTTATGAATCCAATTCAGCATTCGAGAACTAAGCTTACTGATATTTGTCATCTTTTCATAAGGGGCTTGGTCGAAAAGGGGGTTGTCTCAATTGATTATGCTGCAACGGAGAGTGAATTAACTGATGCTTTTGCAAAAACCCTTGATGCACAGAAATTTGATTCCTTGCGAAAATCGCTGGGGATTTATGTTGTTTAATCTGATGCAGTTGCATGAACTGTTGCAACAGTCTGTGTGTCCAGACTTGCAACTTTTAGTGGTAGGACACTTCATATGTTTTTGCATCTCATATAGGACCTGCATTAAGCATACTGCATATGATTGAGACATATGTGAATTTGATACTTCGTGTATTTCTAAATTTTGTGGGGGTAGAACTTCACCAATTCCCAAAATGATTACTTAAAAGGTTCATACTTATTTATTTCTCTGAATAGTCTTGTCATGGTTGGATGTTTTTATAGGGAAAAGCTGCCTCTTTTAATGAGTGAAAGCTACTCTTGAACTACTGTCACTAATATATATATATATCTACAACCATTTGGTCAGTGAATAGTTCGAAGCCTTTTTGAGTCGAGCCAGTAAATCACGTGGCCGAAAGCTCGCTACAAGGCTCAATTAGAAAGCCCAAGGGACTACACATTGCACGGCCATTATAAATTATACATATGGTCAGTGAATAGTTCGAAGCCTAGTTGAGTCGAGCCAGTAAACCACTTGACCGAACACTCACTACAAGGCTCAATTAGAAAGC